CGCCTGGGAAGTCCTTATGGAGTTTCATAGCTCAGAGAGGGGCTTGCACAGGTGGCAGCCTGCAGGAGGACTCGCCCTGGTCGGCGATGCCGTGCCACTTGTGGCTGGTGTCACCGGGTCAGAGGCAGCCCAGAGGCAGCAGGTAGGTGGCTTTGTGGTAGCACCCACACCGACAGGGTAGGGCACAGCCCCAGGTGGTCACTGCTCTCACCTCAAGCACCAAGCTCAGTTTTTACACGAGGTTTTTGTACACATTCAAGCCTGTGTACATCCTGGGTGCCAGGATCGTTGTGGGAAGCAGCAGGAATGGACCCCTCAATGCCAGCCCTGTCCCTTCCACCTGTGGCATGTTCCTCATTCTCACTTCCTTGTAAACTGGGGCTGAGTCCAAAGAGCCTCTGAATCAGAGGCATCAGCCTGAGTCTTGCAGAGTTTAAACTTTGAGTGCTGAGCCCAGTGTCACTCTTTGGTAGATCTTTATCAGCTTCTAATTCCTACTGTGTTGTTTGGGGAAGGACCATTTGACCGGGAATGTCTGTACAAACCACCAGCGTGGATGAGGTGAGTCTGGTCCCAAGGCTACACTTCAAAAACCCAAACAGCTTGCAGTCTTTCAAGCCTTTTCTCCCCTACAGAATCGTTAGGGGGTAGATGAGAGGGCTCTTCTGTTCCGTGCTGCTCGCACCTTGCGGTGACAGGAACGGCGTGTTTGAACTTGAAAACATCAGCCTCTGTTCTGGTGTGCTCCCTTGAAGTCGAGTGCTATTTTTCACACTTCTTAACTTGAAATTTCTCGAGGTTCCTGGAGGATGTCGGTCCTTGTGTCGGTGAGGCTGCAGGTGCTATAGGCACCAGTGGTGTCTCTTGAGCAGCCACTCCTGGCACCTCAAACACTCTACCTAAAGAACAGGGGTATTGCCTGGGCTTGGACACCATGGCTTTCCCTCTCCGCTTCCTAACATCAACTCCTAAAACATCAAATCCTAAATCAGGGATTTGGAAGCACGGCTACTCACTGAGGCTTGAACGTGGAAAGGTCAAGTGGCTGCTTCTGCACGGGGATGGACAAGTGAGGAGTTCCTCCGGACTCGGGTGTTCAGCATGTTTAAGGTCACCTCGGCTACGGATTCCCAAACCTTAATCCTTTCCTCTGATGGTATCTCAGTTCTCATTGTTGTGTGGTCACCTGCGGGTAGCCCTCAGCTCTGCCAAACCTCTCCTACTAGAACAATGTGCTGCTGTGCCTGGAAATATTCAGTGAAACTTCACCATAAAACTGAAGTGTTCAGGAAAAAAAAGATCTGAAGTCTCCCAGGCGTCCGTGCTGAGCTGCAGCACTTCAGTGGTGTTTCTGCATCGTTCCCCGGTAACTTTCTGATAACTGCAAGCCAGCCTTGGTAGAGCATCCTAAAAAGAGGGAGCTCGAAGAGAAATTCTTGCTGGAAAAGGTACAGCATCTTCTGTCCGAGGCAGCGCGGCAGCAGCTCAGGTGCCCGGTTACTTTCCAGGCTTGTTTATCTTTGCCCTGATTGTTGCCATGCTTAAGTTAATTGCTGCTGTGCGCGGAGTTAATGAATGTACTTTGGCACAGCTTACAGAAGTTGGTCTGACCTTCGAGCAGGGAGAACGACGATGACAATAGGTGCAGTGCCTTGTGCAAAGGAGCCACAAAATATTTTCGGGGCATCTCGTCGTGTGTAAGGAGGACAGAGCAGATCCTCTGCGTTGTAACTCCGCTTGCTGTGTGGGGTTGAAAATAACCTCTTTATTTTTCCTCTTGAGAAACGTTGCCTTGGGTGTTATCAGAAGCACAGCGTGATAAAAACTTGCTTCCTGGTTGCGGACACATCAAAGCGTGCCCTGCGTCACGCCGCGCTGCAGCCCGGTCCCAGATGCCTCTGTGGGACTGGAAGGCATCGGAGAGATGGCTGTGGAAACACCTGGAGTAATGCGTGCGGACAGGTACTCGAAGAGGTACCTGTACAGTGACCCAAGTCTTCTAATGCAGCCAGAGACGGCATCCTGAGGGTTTTACCCTTTTTTTTAATTTCCTTACCAACAGGCTCAGTAGTGCTTACAGTGGATTCACCTGCAGGTACAATGTGCTGGATTTGGCTGGCCATGAGATACAGGTGGGGTTACTCTTCCCAGATTTCACTCTTGTCATTTCCATGTTGGCCTTGGGTAGGTGCCCCTCAGAGAAGTACCGGGTGGAAAACAAACTTCCAGTTCTATCCACAAACCGGTGATAAGTTGTTTCAGGAATTCACACAGTCCTGCTTGAAAAAATGGCAGTCAGCCCTTCCAGTCCCTACAAAGGTGAGATTCTCCAGACTGTTCCTGTACGCCCTAATGAAGTCGTTTTCTGTCCTGCTAACAGTTCCAGCGTATCCTCTATTAACAGCGGTTCAGAAGTTCACTGCCAAACGCTGGTTCTTTTTTCTTCCTGCGGCTGCTGTGTTTGGACACAAACGTCTAGTGGCACAGCAGCATGCTAACTGCACTGTAACAGTGCTTAATATTTTCTTTTAACATGCTGAAACTAAACTCTAATATATCTGAATATTCTTTTTTTAATGTTTTTCATCTCACAAGCTTTCAGACTTTAAGTTCAGCCTGTAAGAGCTCCGCTCGTGGCTTCTTCCATGTTGAGATGCAGGAAGAGATTTCCCAAGGACCTGACAATTTGATGAGAAAACAATTTTTGAGCGCTCAGGATGGGTCCAGGAGTTTGGTTCTGGGCATCAGCTGGGACCCGAAGAGGTTTTGCTTGTGTTGCCAGCGCCAGCTGCCCGGCTCCTCCAGGAGCTGGTTCCTGCGGAGGGGCAGCAGGGCTGTTACAAGCAGATGCTTTCCTTACACTGATCATAGGGCTGCTTTCTTTGTCTCATTTCTCCTTCTCTTCCCTCGCTTTCACCTTGTTCCTGCTTCTCTACTTTGAGAGATAAGGCAGGAGTGCCCTAGCGTGTCTGTACGTCCCTGCAGTCTCCTACAAATGGCCACACAGCCCCTGGAGAAGGTGCTTTGGTTTAGGTGCACCGGTCAGATCCCAAGTCAACCCAGAGCCTCAGTTGCAGGTCAGTCAGATTGAACCAACTCACGGCATTACCAAATGAGAAAAGCTGACTGGAGAGAAAACAAGTACAAAAAAATACTTGCGCAAAGTTTAATTTTCCTGCAGTTTCAGGATTTCATCCAATTCAGCTTGTCCGTGGTCCTTCCGAGCAAGGCTTGGCAACAGAAGAAAAGGAATGGCACGTATGAGATACATCCAGGACTTCTGCTTTATTGCACTGACAGAACCAAATTGTTCAATCTGTTGCCTCATCTGTTTCTTGCCGTGGCAGGGAGCTGTAAAGGTCAGGCCGTTGCAGCACAAAGAACGCAATAGTTCGCAGGCTGCATCTCGCCGTGTCACCAGCTGGCTCGCGCGCTTCTCCCCCCCAACATCCAGGCTCTGTCCCAAAAAGCGTAAGCAGCATCCTCAGCCTATTTTGGGAATGCGTCAAAGGCAGAACTTTCTTTTCCACATTCCCACCTTCACCAAGGTGGTGCTGGGGAGAGCTGGGCGCCAAGGGGTCAGGGTTGCAGCCCGTCTGTCCTGCAGGGCAGCGGGAAGGGGTGAGTTGGGTGCAGCTACGGGGTGGTGGCCACAAATCCGGGTTGTTTTGGGTACGTGTGAGGAGAGGAACAGGTAAATGTGCAGGGATCTGAGTGACACCGCTATGGAGAACATCTGGTAACGTCACATCTTCAGTACCTGCCCATCTGGACGGTGCCAGCAGAGGAACCGTGCCTTGTCATCCTCTGGCAGTCCCTCGGTTTGGAAGTTTTAAGCTCTGCCTCTAGCTCCTCTGTATCCTTCTCTCTTTTTTCCATGTTTTTAATGCGTTAAATGTCAAAGCTTGGACGAAGATTAATGACACCTTCTTGGCAGTGTTTGCACGATAAAAACAGAAATAAAAGCCAGTTGTTGCTCCTGTCTCGGCTAAGTGCATCGGTGCTTTCAGACACATGCAAATGCAGTATCCACTGGAAACGTCTCCCTGTAAGCTGTCAGCTCCCTGTTACCTGGTATCTGCGAGTGCTGCTACAGCCTGGCAGCCCTGCACCTTGCAGAAACCAGGGTGGTGCTTCAGATCACCATAAAACAATGAGGTTAGCTCTGCTTAGAGGTGCCTCGGTCTGTTCATGCTTTGATCCTTATGGTAGGCTGTCAGTAGGCATCAAGGGATCCATTATACCAGTAATTTAAAAGACAAACTTCAATCAGAAGCGCGGAAACATTTATTTTTAAGAAAACTGGGCTGGCAGGAAAAAATAACCACCAGCTGTCGAGGCAGGTTACTGGTGTGCTAGCCCCGTGGGGGCACCGTGTGGTTCATACAGGCTGCCCCAGCGCTTCAGCCTCCCAACCCTCCTGGCTTTTATTGCCAGATGGAGCCTTAGCACGGTGCTTCTTGTGCTTCAGGGCTTGGGGGAAGAGGCTACAATGCAGAGGAAAGCTGGGGGAAAGAATGGTGGAGGTGGAAAACTGCAATCACCGGTTGGGGTTGGGTTCCTAAGATGTGCGTGCTCCTTTTTGGCATGTGTAATGACATAAGAGGGGGAAAAAAAAAGCCTTTTGGTAAATTTGATTAGCTAATACTCGTTTGGCTAGTACTGTATCTATAGCTCTGCTGTTCAGTATGTTAAGACTTCTCTGCTGTTGCTCTTCAGGGAAAAGCGTTGCCGTAACTTGTTCTTTATTTCCTCAAATCTTGATAACGTGCCCAGGTCAGCGTTTGACTAAACGGGAGATCTCTGGTTTGTGTTTCAAAACTTAGCTGGAACACGTGAGCTTTCAGCTCGCTTTCTTCGGGTAGGGGAGGAGGGAAGAAGCTGTATCAATACAGGTGCTGTGCAATACTCGGGTGTATCCTGGGTTTATCTGACTGTTGGTGTGTGCCCCATGCTCAGTGCTCTCTGACTTTTCCTTTTGTTCCTTTTGTTCCCCCAAGGTGCCATACTCGGCAGATCAGAAACACAAGAGTGTATCTACTACAACGCTAATTGGGAAAAAGATAAAACAAATCGCAGTGGCATTGAACCTTGTTACGGCGATAAAGATAAAAGACGACACTGTTTTGCTACGTGGAAGAATATTTCCGGATCAATTGAAATTGTGAAACAAGGCTGCTGGCTAGATGACATCAATTGTTATGACAGGTACGGAAGTTTCCCTAGAAACCTGAAGTTTATTTGTAAATACAACTATTTTGTTTGTCCATAATTTATATCAGCTCTCCTCTGCCAGCAGTACCTGGGACAAAAGATGAGTACAGTAGTCTATAAATAGCTGTAGTTTTGTTTTTATCCATGTGCACACAATTTCCTTGCTCACGTAAGGACCCAACTTCAACTACGTAGCTTGTTTACAGAGTAGCACGTGCTGCCTTCTCGTATTTACTTGCTATGTACTAAAAATGGGTGTTTAATTTTTACACGTTGAGGTCATTAATAATAGCTTTTTTCCTAACAACTTGTTATTGTCAAACGATGAGTACCACATGAATAGGATGAACGTTGAAACCACACTGCAGGTATCTACAGTTCACCTTTCCAAAGTCTTTGGAGTAGGAAAGTCAACGCATCGTGTGGGTTCCTTACCTGAACGTGGAAACATTTTGTGTATTTATTGTAAAGCTCACCTCAGTGGCAGTTCTAAGAGACACAGAATATTTTAAAATTCCAGTCATTTTTGTATAACAGATGGTCAAGCAAGTACCTGTGAGCATTAACAGCAGGACTTGAGTTTTGTTAGCTATTGGCTGAATAGAGGTCATGACTCTTTTAAGAAATAATATTACAGCTCTAAAGAAATAGTATTAATAGTTCTTTGAAATGCTGTACTAACCTTTATTTGTCCTAAACAGCTTTTGTTCAGAATTAAGAGAATTAGATAAATGCATAATAGATATCACTAAAATGTATTTGGAAATTATTTTTAGCCATAGTTTGGAAAACTTTCCTGTTGTGTTTCTCAAATGTTGCATGAGTAGAAGAAATCATTATAGTCATTTCTACCAAATAAAGAGCTTTCCCACAGACTGGGCTGTCTCCTGCCTTTACTGATAGTTTAAAGCTAGGTTGAATGGTACTTCTGATTATCTGTTTCTCAGAGAAGTAGCAAAGCATCTGCAAATCTGCTTGCACAGCATAATTGAAATTCTGCTACGCTGGAAGACAAAGGGCAAATTTTGAAGAAATTTTCTTTGTTGCTACTAGTATCTAGGAACAGTAAGTCACCCAGGATGGGAAAGTACCTTGTGTTTTTTACCATCCTCTTAGATGTAGCTTTGCAGAAGAAGTGGGAGTATTTACAGTTTCTGAACTGATATTGTTTATGCTACATTTTGAACTTTAAGGATGGAAATTTTTCAAATTGGAAACAGAATTAGGTTCTGTACCATTGTTTTCCCACTAGTCCCACGTCTAACATTGAACTAAAAAAAAATGAGGTATTAAGTTCTCCCTTGAGCTAAGAAAAGAAGCTGGAAGAAGGAATAAAATGCAGGAAGGGCAGTAAGGAAATAGTTGAGCTTGTCTGGCTCTGAGACCTCATTAAGTTGTCATAAGAACGCCTGCTGCCGTGTTTGTCTAAAATAGCCATTAAACAAAATCTTATCTTGGGAGTGGAGAGCAGTTTAGTAAACAGGGAGTTACAGTATGCTCAGCTCCAAACTGCAGCAGATTACAAACACCAAAGAATAAATGCCATGGAGGTTGCAGCACAGCCTAACTGTAAGAGCTGGTGCTGTCAGTAACATTATTTTTAAAGAAGAATACAAAACTTTTTTGGGAATCTTTAGTGATAGATAAATTCCTCAATAATTTCTGCAAGATTTTCAAATTTGTTATCTGCTGCCAAGTTGTCTCTTTCTGTGCATGGCTGCTCTTTTTCTCTCCTTTAGTAGTTCAGCTCATTAGTTAATACAACTCCTTCCATGCCATTAAGTCGCTGTGTGGAACAAAACCTGCCCCTGAGCATCATGCATGCGGGGGAAATCAAACAAAATTTTAACTTTCTGTTGTTGTTTTTCTTGAACTTTGTTTTGGAAATAGTAAAATGTGCTGCTTTGGTTTAAATATTAATGGTATCTCTTTGCAATACAAATTAATAAAATATTAATTTGTTTCTTCCCATTAACTCTTATTAGGGTAGTATGCTATCCCGGGTAATTTGCAGAAGTTGTCTTTAAACTAGAGCATATGTTCTCTTGAGCAAAATAGACAACATACGATTAATAAGATTTTTTATTATTATCTCTTATAGGAATGATTGCATAGAGAAAAAAGACAGCCCTGAAGTGTTCTTCTGCTGTTGTGAAGGCAACATGTGCAATGAACGCTTTTTCTATTTCCCAGAGATGGAGGTCACACAACGTAAGTTGGTCTCACACATTTATAAAGAAACAGCATAACAGAATTCCAAAACACTGAATGTTCAGGAGCTGAGACGTTTTCAGAATATTCTGGTCAGTTTTCCCTGCTACAAGGCCTCTGGTTCCTGAATGACAGAGCTGTGTGCGTCCATATATAGAACCTAGAAAATTACACGTTCGTTCCTTCAATTTTGAAAGCTCTCTGTACTAGAAAAAGTAATTTAAATGGATAAAACGTACTTCAGCTGTTCTCTAGGGGTAAAAAGAAAGGATAATCTGAAATAATTGGACGTTTCAAGATACAGGAGTTATTGTCAAATCTTACCTTAATTGTGTAGTTAAGCTGCTGTAAGTGTTGATAAATTATTGGGCTATAAGCAGTGTTATCTTTATATACACGTATAAGCCTGCAAATGCTTCAGTATTTCTTTAAACTAATTGGACCTGAAAATCAACACAGTAACCTTTAAAAGGTGCAGAAGGATTTCTTCCCAAGTTACAAAGAAAATCAGATAGCCAGACTTAGCAAATAATGGTACCAAATGATAACTAAAAAGATTATTGGGTTATTCTTCAGTATCTTCTTCCAGTCAAGAACCTAATCTCTGTTGGAAAACCGAGTAATTGTAGTAACTGGAGTGAAAACACTAAATGTCTTGTGTACCAAATAGCCAGAGGAAGTTGTGCTTGAAATTAAATAACACTTCTGAGAGATGGAAGTAGTCTTTGTTGGCCCACGAGATGCGCCTGTCAGGTTTCTCAGTGATCTGCTAACACAATAATTGACATTCTTCATTGCTCTCGTTAAACCTCGCTTGCCCCAGAGGTCTGGGGCTGCTCCTGCACCAGCCTCCTCCGAAGCAGGGTTTCTCCAGAGCCCTTGCTGGGGTCCTTACAGAAGCAGCTGCTGCTAGAGAATTTTTACTTTCAGCGAATCAACAGAGCATAGAAACGTTGGCAGGTTATTCTGGCCTGTGCTACTTACTAATGACATCTTACTATTTACATTCTAAAGATTAAACCTCTGTATTGATCCTTTCTTCATTCATTAGGTGGTGGCATTCTGGCAATCCTACAATAGAAGCACATCACACGCGTTAGATAGAGTGAGGATAGAAGCGCAAAAGGATGTGCTGATACAGAAATCGGAGTTACCTCCATACTTTCAAAAATGCTCTCTTTTAAATATGTATCTGTTTATTAGAGTATGCTGCTTAATCAAGTATTTCTCGCCTGTTGTGCTGATTGCAAGGGTTTTTAGCAAGTCAGGATGACAGATGTTTCCAGAACTGGTTTGGTTTTGTTTCTTAGAAGTTACATCTTACGTTTTGTTTCATAAAAGCTATTTTTTCTTCCTTCAGCAACTTCCAACCCGGTTACACCGAAGCCGCCTCTGTTCAATACCTTGCTCTATTCATTGGTGCCTATCATGGGAATTGCAGTGATCGTGCTCTTTTCGTTTTGGATGTACAGACATCACAAGCTAGCGTATCCTCCTGTGCTTGTTCCAACCCAGGTAAGTTGCTGCTCTGCGATTTCATTTTTTTTTTTCCTGAATGGTACAACCATGGCTGAAGCAGAGGGGAGAAGGCAGCATGCATCTGTCGCCTGGCTGAAGTCTTCTGTTACCTTCCTGCTCCATAGGTGCTAATGTTTGCTATCTGCAAAAGCAGAAAACGAAGCTTTTACTTTAACAGCCTTACGTCCTTAATTAATTGACCATTGTTGAATATGTGAGGAGCTACTAAATATTTTTACACATCCGTGTGGATTTTTTGAGGGGGTGGGAGGGAGGGGGACACCAAAACCAACAAACATCAGGTGGCAAAAGCATCTTGCTCCCTGGGCACAAGGAGCTCTCATGTACAGAGCCTGAGCTTCGTGTAATGCATAGCTTAGGACAGAAATGAAGGAGAGAGGGTAATTCGTAATGGCAGTTTGCAGTGGGTAGGAAATAGCAACTAGGAGAAGCACAGCTGTGTTTGAAAAAGCAAACACGGAACTGAACTGCAGGTATCAGCTAAAGGGAATGTATAGAAAATCTGGAATTGAAACAGTCCCGGGGCTGAGCTCACCTTGTGGCTCGCTCTTGTTCCTGTCATCTGTCTCCTCTTGTTTGTTCATTTTATATTTTGTCTTGAAATATATTTCAGTTTTACTGGTGCTTCTGTTCTGCCTGGGAACTACCTTGAGATTGTTGTCTTGAAATTTGAAATGTAAACTGGCTGGGTGGCATCAAAACAAACTGCTCTGGCTGCGAATGCACAGAGCCTGCTGCCGTCAGGCTCCAGCTGATCCCGTAGCAGTAACTCACATTAGTGCTAGAATTCCTCTTCTTGTATTCAGTTGTGGCTAGAGATTCGGTTGAGATTAGGAGGTTGTTTTTGAAGAGCTAAGACAACAAAGTCCTCAGAACTGAAGTAGGAAAGGTGAACAAAGTGTGGTAGTGGAAATGGAGAGAGAAATGACTTGCCCAATGTGACCCCTCAGCTAGAATACATCGCCCCTTGGACAGTGATGGTGCTGCTCACGATTAAAGAAAACCCAAACATTTGCTGGTTTTGGTAGCATTGAATTTAAAAAGGGTTACATATGTTTGCCCTGTGCTGCCAGCTGCTCTGATATTTTCGGTGTTAGTGCTCGACTTCAGGGTGCTCAAGGAAGCGTTATTACCTGTGGCTGATATGTAAAATGGGCTTGGTTTCAGTTTCATAGTAAGAGGAAGAAAATCTGGGAGGAGGCAGTGGACATAACTACTTGCCAAAAGAGAAGAACCTAGTTTAGGGGCAAAAGTTTATTTCCTGCCCTTGCAGAAAGTGTTACAGATTCACCAGCTCCCTGTAGCTCCATTAGCATGACTCCTGCATCCATTTCAGCTCTTCTCTCTTTGGGGCTTTGTGTCATCCTAGCAGTCCTCACTGTAAGCTTCAATTCCTAATTGCTAGTTGTGTGTATAATTTTAGTAGGTATTTCCTCTTCTAGGGTTAAAGAAATTAAAGAAAAGCATTGGATGAAGTGACAGAAAAGCAAACGTTACAATACTTGGTGTATGTCAACACTTCAGTTTTGGTTTTCGTCCTCCTTTTCATTGTAGCTCTTTTCGTGCATGGTTTGTGTTTGGTACAGGAGTGGACACGTCATAAATTTTTAATAAATAGGGTAATAACCTGTTTGTTAATGCCTAGATTGTATCTGTTGGGATAAGTATATGTTGGTGCATGAGCTAGTTATGGTGTAATAACATTTTCTTATCTTGTGGTGAATAGGCATTAAGGCTTGATGTGGAAAGTCAGGAAAAGCTACTTCTGCCTGAAAAACTAAATGAAATTATTATGGAAATGGGACGTATAAATATTCTCCCATATGCAGCAGAGCAGCGTTTCCCACTTAAAATTTGATTACAGCTGATTTCAATGGGAGGCAGGGGAAGCAGGAAGAGAGGGAAGAGTATTAGTAATTTTATAACCATGAAATAAATATTTTAATATTTTAATATATTAAATATTAGGGCCTGAGTAGAGTCTGTAGGCAAATGGATTCTTTGAAGTCTTGCTGTAGCTATTGATAGAACGGATTAATCAGGTGTGGATCAATATTCACTAGAAAACACTGATTTCTGTCTGAGATACTGAATCGAGGGTTATGGCATTTTACTTACCTGGTTCCTGGAAGGTGATGGGAGTGCTGAGGTGCGCTGTCCTGGCAGTAATTTTTCTTTCAGCAGAAATTAAAACGTAGATGAGAAATGGACAAAAGATAAAAATGAGGAAACCCTGAAGAATAAGAAAGTTTGGAATAATTAGGAGAAGAAAGATGGAGTAAATACTAAATAAATCTTTTAAGTCACAATATAGGGAAAGAAATTGTTTGGAAGATACATTAAAAAAAATGGTAGAAATGTTTGAAACGAAAGATAAAGGACAAACATCTGAGAAAATGCACACAACTTCATATTTTTTGAAAGCAAAACTTGGACAGTACATCTATGTATCAGGCAGCTCCTGCACGAGCTGAGCGCAGCTCACAGCTCTCTGGGTTCCCTTCCTTTTGTATCAAGGTGCAGATAATCAGTCTGATCTCACGCAGTAGAAGTTGTTTGTATATTTGGGTGAAGTTTGGTAAGCAGCAGCAATTCTTGCTTACTCTGTGCATGTTCCATCCCCGTTTTCTTTCAGAGCACCCCTCCAGCCCACAGCCCTGCCAGTAGCTTCTGCCTTCCTCCTGCTCCAGCCCAGTTAAAGCTGACTGTCAGCTTTTGTAAACACCCAGTGCTTCTCAGATTCTGCCGTGAGTGATTAGCAAGTGGAGGTTCGCTAAATATGTGCGTGTTTATGTGAAACAGTTTGACAGAACTATTTAATCCTCCTAGTTAGCTTTGATCGTATCACGCAGCAACCATATATTCCATATGTCTGGTCAAATCTACCAGAATAATGGCTCAGTATTTAAAATATCTGTGTGTATTTTTATTTAGAGTTACTCTTGCTCACTTAATTTTCACTTATGAGCACTGAGTACACGGAAAAGGAAACACCACAGTCCTTGTGGACAAAGGTTTCTCTCCAAATTAGGTGCACCGAGGTTCCCCCGCAGCACCCTACAAATATTCCTGGTAGAAGTGAGGCTGTGGATGGCAGGGAGCTGCTCTGCTCTGCTCATTTCTTTTTTACATCTCTTGAGCTTGGGCCAGGGTTGTCAGTCAATGCTAATTGCTCCTGTAGTGTTACCACTCTGTCATCTGATAGATAGGACCACAACCTATTTTGTAGCATAACTGACACAAGTAACACTTTGGGGTTTTTTTAATCAGTTCGCAGAGCTGCGGCTCCCAACACTTTGCAGCCAGAGTGTGCAAAGACAAATTAACCTCTTGTACTTTTTGTGAAGTGCCCGAGTTATGAATATCTTCCTGGATCGCAGAGCTGCTTTTTTTGTTTTGTGGTGGTTTTAAAAGAAGAGTCATCTGTTGAGAGGGTTGAGAAAAGCTTTGCAGATTCACATAATGTCATTTCTCTTAACCTATTTTTGTACTTTCTTCTGAAACGTTTGAAGCGACTTGGGTCAAAGATTGCTCATGTGTTTAATCACTGAGCACGAGAAAGCCCCGATCCAGGCCTGTGTGGGGTTACCAGGAATTCAGAGGCTCCTAATGGGCAGATCTATTCAAACAGCTCGTGAACCAGCAGCATGGGAGCTGCTTGCTTCCATATGCATCCATAAAAGCAAGCTTGCTTCCTAGGAATTACCATTTCTTCCTCTCCTTCTCTGAGAGGAGGATCACATAGAGCTACATCTTGTGCTTTCAGCCCGAATATCACCTCCTGTAGCTTTTCACCCAGTGCTCCCTATACCCAGCACTGTAACCCTGTATGGTTTTTTTTCCCTCCTTATGGGTGAACCTCACTGGTGCTGCAGATGGAGGGCATGCTGACCGTTCAGTCATGTGCTAGATAAACCAGGAGTTAGTCTTCATTGAGGCACATAAATCAAATACAGAGAGATCAGCCCTCCAGTCTCAAAACTGAAGTATCAAAGAGACGCTCTGTGCAGTTAGGGTTGCTGGGTGAAGGCTCCCATCACCACCAGACCACGATGCTCTTTCTTCAGCTCAACTCTTCCTGAGGACAGCTAAATACAAGCACCCCTTTGTAGCTACATCAGGACTTTGCTATTTCAGTTTCAGCTGTAAGAAGTCAGAGTTGAAAGCAGTTCCACGTAACATGGGATGGATAGCAACGAAGGAGAAAAATCTCTAGCAGTGGCAGAAGCAAGACACATTCTGAACTGCCTGTAGGGTGGCCGCACAGGTACCAGTGGGAAAACAAATTCTGTGCTGGAAACCAATAGGGAAGGAACATAAATACCAAAATGTGATGCTCTTCCCACAGTTTTTGACTTCCTACATCTGGTGTAGGCCACTAAGCCTGTGTCGAGGCTTTTGGTAAGTGTGTGTGTAACTTGAATGATTTGTTTTCCAAAAAAATCATGGAAGTAGTAGTTACTAATGGATAATTTTGTGGCTAGAGATTGGAAGTAGGAAGAAATTTTTCTTGGAAGATAGGTGAAGACTGAGTTAGGGGCTTGTGGCCAGCTCGGAAGGAGTTAGGGTTGGGTATGTACCAGTGGTTAATGAATCATTAGCATACAATGAGTGGCAAGGTTCGTGTTAAAAAGGAAAAACTGAATGAGCTCTAAATTTGGACCGCTGGAAGCGTGCATGACTTCACGTTCTGTAATGATGCATTTATATCCGCAGGGCTAATAAGAATTTCTCCTAGCATCGATTCCAGTCAGCAGCTGGAATGACGCAGGGGAAAAGCTGGTGCCATCCTTTGGTCCTGGTGCCGTGGTGCCCAGCTCTGGTATGGCTCCTCAGAGGCGATGCTCTTTGTGCTAGGAACAGGCACGGAGGGCTGGAGTGCTGATTTCTGTGGGTACGTGGCCAGGTACTCGACCTTCAGGAGCTTTTTAACCATTTTCCCTAATAAAGTCCAGTTTGTGTATCCTCAGATACGCTCTCCTGAATGTTTGAGGCTGACATCTTTCAGGTAATCTTCTACATCACTAGTAGGAGATTCGCACCCTTCACAAGGTGTGCAAAAATAATGCATTTTACTTCACATTCTCTGAAGAGATCAAGGGACTGTGAACAAACATGAAGGTATCATGTTTTAGGCACTGGTTAGGAACAAGCAAATGAATCGGTGCAATACCTTTGAAATACAATAATTTTGAGCACCATCTTTATGAAGATCTGTGACACATTTAAAGTTCAGAATGGGTTTTCTGGATAGCCCAGATTTAGGAAGGGGTCACACTGACAGTATTTTTTTGTCCTAGGCGGTTACAAATTCCACGGCAATTTCCCTAACCCCAGATAAAACCTTTAGAAGTAGTTTTCAGGCAGCATAAACAGTAAGTTAGTGTGTTTACATCTGTTTGCGTTAGGTGATGGCTATGTTGTGGGGTTTTGAATTACTCCCAACTTTTATAAAAGAGTTGTGTTGATCCCTGAAGTAAATATATTTGCTTTCCTTAATAGGCAGACACTGCTTAAACTGTTGATCCTTGCATTTCTAATGAAAGGCCTGGGATGGCGGTTTGTAAGGCTGAAAGGAGAGGCAGTGACCTTAAAATCAGAAGGTCTATGATGTGCATACATCTCTTTTTGGAAAATATTATGTGTGCCTGGTGTATTAGAGCTGGGGGGGAGCTGATCCCATTAAGAGTGGTGAGGGGACTGGAGCAGGACCCCAACTCCTCAGAGTTTCCCATTATCCCACCAGGAACAAGAAGTCTGTATTTATTTTTTACTTATTTTTAAGGAATTTACTGAATACTTAATAAACAGAGAACGTTAATAGCAAACAGACCTGCAAAATCATTCTCTCTAACACATTTTCTTTTACAGCCCTAGGAACGAAGTTTGCTGAACAACTGTTTCAGTGGTTTTAAGTTCCTTTAACAGTTCCTGTTTGTTCTGCTGCTGCCCCAGTAGCTGTGGGCAGGCAGGGATGTACCGATCGCTCTGCTCAGCAGCCATTCCCTGCCAGGCTCCCGGGTTGAGCAGCGTTTCTGTTTTGCTTGGCTGCTCTTCCAGGCACAGGAACACGGGAGGCTTTGCAGGAGGAACTTCTGTGCTCGTGGGCTGTGGGGTTTGTGCTGCTGCCTTACTTGTAGGGGTTTTAAAGTACTCACAGGATGGCTGTTATTGTCCTGGAACCACCAAGAATGGAAATTAGTTCAAGGTTTGGGGTTTTCTATGATTTGTTTCCCCTTCCAAGGGTGCTTGCAGGCTGTACGAGCGCTGCCACTCTGCCCCAGAGCCTTGGGCTGGGTGCTGACCCCATCCCAGTGGCCCTGGCCGCCAGGGAGTCTGCTCAGCGCTCAGACAGCAAGCTGTAAATCCAACTGCAACCAGCCTAGCCTTCAAGAACTACTTCAGCCTTTCTATTATTAATTATTCAGATAATGCTAAGTGTGTGCTAGACGGTTCTCAAGCGCAGAGAGAAGGCTGCTGGCTCTGCGCTGGCGAATCCTAAGGATGTAAAGACAAAGGGTGAGGAAAGGGATGATTGCTGTTACGTGGCAGCTGAATGCTTCAAGCGCCTGCATTTCCTGCTGCTGCACCAACTACCTGATGGAATTAGAGAAGACAAGGCTGAGGCACAGGTACAGGAGAAGCAGTGCAGGTGCCTGAGCTGCTCCGCTTTGAAGCAGCACGGACAGGCTCGTCTCACTGAAATGTGTGCTAAGTTTCAGTAGCTGTGATCTGGGACGTAGATTTGGGTAACATTTTATCCGACAGTCTGTAAACTCATGATTTGGGTGCAATAGTCCTAAATACTGTAATCTATACATGCTGGGTAGTGTTCACTTGTTCTAGTTACAGCTCAAGCCTGCCAGATTTATTGATGAAATTGGGCACTGAAGATCCGGTATATGAAGACCTATTCGTTTGTGATGTTTAGTTGCAACTCAGACGCTTCAAAGTTTTCATTTTCCACAGCTAGTTACTAAATCCAGCATAGTCTTAACTTAAAAAATGCAACGCTGCCCTCTGCTGTACAGCGGTGAGCACACCGAGATGCCTCTGCATAGCTTGTGTCCGTGTAACACCCTGCATGCGTTCATGTACTGCTCTGTACTGATGGGACTGTTCAGGCACCTGTAATGGACGAGTCAATTTTTAATTATCAATGATCGATTCAGCTAATGGTCTGTATTGAAATCTTTATTTTCGCCCATTTTTCTTTGCTAACATATCAATGATTTTTTATTCATTTTAAATGATCTGTTATTAGCACGGAAGGTATTGCTATCCCCATGACTATTTTGGTTGTTGATCCGCAAGCAATTTATTTGGTCTCTTTTCTTATAAGCTGTTTTTTCATCCCATTCTTGATCTAAATAGTAATTTCTTTTGCCTGTGTTTTTTCCCCTCTCTACAAGCACGCCTTTCATATAATGATTGAGGTAAGATGCATTGATGTTTGTTCATGGTTATGGAACTTTCTGTGGACTTGTAAGAAGTTGTTTTGGTATCAATTCCGTTCTTCCAGTAATGTGGACCAGAAATTCGTGAGCATGCGGGGTTTAAAAATGCAGCTTTAGCCTTTTCTTAAAGTTGCCTACAATTTCTCAGGCTATGGAGTTGTGTCTGCAGGGTTTGATGAAGAAATCCTCCGGGCATCGCTGGTTTGTGGCTCTTCAGCTACAGACGAGCTCAGAGCAGCCTGTGTCACTCCCACCCGTGTGCTGCATCGCAGGGGCAGGGCCCTGCTGGCACAGCACTTGCTGGGGTCTCAGTTTGGGGCCGTGGGAGCAGCACACAGAGCAGGGGCTGGGGCTGACGTTCCCATGTAGGCGATGGCCCCGAAGGCAGCAGCATGTCCTGCTCGGGTCCCTCCAGTCTGAGAAACACTCCCTGGAGAGAAAAGCTCTTCTACATCTTAAGACTACTGTGATCTTCGTACTGGCCAGGAGTGGTTTTTACATGTATTAGATCACTGATTCTTCACGTGAAACTACAAGTAACTGAACTGTTTATTCAGGAACTGTGGTCGTTACCGGTAGACTTTTTACATAAATATTGAAGAAGTTGAGATTTGAGTTGCGGTATGAATGTACAGTTTTTGTTGTCTCTCTGTCGGTCTCATGTTGTTCTCTGATAGCCGGGATGCTTTGTAACTGTAATTTAGAAGAAAACAGAATGCTGCTATGGCAATACTCAGCAATATTCTGAGCATCTTGCACCTGGAAAGAGTTGTCAGAGGCCCTTCTATTCCCATTGCTGTCTTGCTTCAAGTGACTTGATTTCTGTTAGGGAAGGAGTATTCTGGCTACAAGCAATTACCTTGTTTCATATTAATTAGGGGAGTATGTCATATATGCACTGCAAAATACAGGGGAATTCGTGGGGCAAACGAGAGAAGAATTGTCACTATTAAGAGAAAACAAAATGATGCTGGGGAATTAAAGGTTGAAATTTGGATACGTGTTATAGTCAATTTTAGACTAAATTACAGAATTTACAAAGTCTGACTCCTTTTATTCTTGTCCCAACTTCACCCATCATCTGATTGAAAATAAACCAAGCCCAAGCTTGAAAGGGAGGAGAATGATCTTTAAAGGGGAACCTGTTGACCATATTAACAAAAAAATAGCTGTAGTATAAATGTAACCAAGGGGAAACAAAGCAAAATTTAAGAAAGAGCACTTGCATGGGCTCTGGAAGCTTTATTTTGGAGTCAGGAAAGAGAAACGTGATTATATATGACCCCATTTGGATAATCGGTCCCTTTATAGAGGATAAATCATCTGATTCAACTGCCGTGTGAGAGAAATGGCTGGGGAAGAACTCAAGCACTGATGGCCTGTGGTGGGGCAGTCTTTAGGCAACCTGTCCCGTTTGGCACATCCTTAAGGGAAGTGTGGCTTCACAGTGAAGCTCCACAACCATTCTTGAGTCATGGAGGGAAGATACCATTCTTAAGATACCATTCTTAAACTTTAAGCGTTATTTTTTCCTTTTTATAAATAAATTGGCATGTGATCTACAGCTGCCTGCAACTCCCAGCTCTAAAAATGGGAACCAAAAAGTAGTTTAACCTTTGAAAACTACAGCGTGGCACAGCACAGCGAGGTGTGCATGGTTCCGAGATCACCTTACAACCTGAACTGATGGTTTTAATGGCCAGAGGCTTTGAGCTACGGGAAGAAGAAAGCTTAGTGACCTGTTCTGCATCCTGAGGCCATCGGTTCAGGTGCTGTTGGCTGTTTTTATCTGGCAGAGGATCTGTGCAGCGGTGCTCACCATGCCACCTGCCCAGGGTGAGGAGAGAGTCCTGCTTCCCTCCGCCTTCCAGAGCTTTTTCTATTAACGCGGACCTTGCTGCAAGCAGATGCAATTTGCTAAACTATTAGAAAAATAATGTGATTAGAAGGGGGGTGAAAAAGCTTTCTGACAACGTAGCATCGTGCCTTGATTCACCGTGCAGCAAGCAGAGTCAGTCCGAGGGAGAAAGGGCCGGGGAAGGCTGGGCAGCAGGAGAGGGGCTGCATTTGGACAGCTGAGGCAGGCTGATACACCCCATAATACCTTAGCTCACATTATATCATCCGCCTTGGCGCCGCAGAGATGGTTTTCAAAAGCCACGCACAAGTAATGATGCCTGTGGCACAGTAAATATTTCTGCTTAGCAGCAGAGCAGGTTGCAAATACCGTCAGGGAATGGCTCTGCATAAATCAGGATCGGTAATTTTAGAGCAAATGGCTGTTGGGTTTAGCGAAATCGTTTAGGAAAAAAATAGAAAAAAGTGTAGAACTTTATTTACATTAACAGAAGACAATTACACTTTCCATTTTAAATCAGGATTTGTTTTGATCTCTGTGTGTGGGTGTGTTAACTTCTTCATTGCAAGCAGGAAGTTCTGACTTCACAGAAATGTTTCAACACCCAGAGAAACACGCGGGGAACCGCAGGAGGCTGCTGTGTAATGCAGCGGGGAAAGATTTTGAAATGCCAGGATTTTCTAGGAAAAGCAAAATCCAGGTGTATGAGAAGTATCCCATTGGTCTAGGGTGAGAGTTAGCCGCCCTGTTTTCTTTTTTATCTGGTTTTTACTCAGGAGTGATGCAGGTGCTGTAATCCAGCTGTTTTCATCAGATCTCTGAGAAGTGTCAGTGGTCTTCTGCTTGATGGTCAAGAACAAAAAAATGACCTAGTATGCTTCAAAATACTGGTAGGCTTTTTGGACAGAGGGTAGAGAAAGGACGGGGTTGTTCAGCCACTAGAGCAAGGTGAGGTTTGGGTTTCCTTCCCACAGGCAGGTCGCTGGGTTCAGAACTCCAACGAGTCGTCTTGCTGCCTGATTTCGAATCCCCTGCTACACAGTGCTCAGGGTTCTTAAAAATACCAGGCTTTTACTACTAAAGATAGTCTTGTGAGTAAATTTGGGCATTGTGTTTCTAGTTTTGCATGTCTTTTTTTGCCATTTCCATAAGTAACCATGGCAATTTGAGGACAGCGATCGCCCTGCTGCCTGAAATACTCACAGAGGGCTCGGGCAAGCAGCACGGGAGCGAGAAGCATCGGCGGTGCTGAGAGCAAGAACCTGATCCTGTGTTAGAAGCAACTTTCAGTTCTGAAACTTCACTTTCTCTTTGTTTATCCACTTTGAACCCAGCATTTTTGCTGTAACAGCTTTATTGAAGCATCTCACATCTATTCACAGAAGAATCTCATTTTTTTGAGGATAGTGTTGCAATCCTCTAATTAAAATTGTATTTCTACAGGTATTAATTTCTGTGGAGTTAGATCACAATTTCTTTGAATCGATACAAATCTCTTTATCTATAAAGCTGGTTCTTCTTGAAGCACAGATATATTTTTGCTAAGAAGCAGAGGATGGATATTTAGTCCTGTGCTTTAAGTGCTCAGAGCCTGTAGCGGCCGCAGCAGCACTTGTCTCCGTTCTCCCAGCAGCAAGGTGTGCTTACAGCCACGGCTGTTCAGCAAACGTCTGTAACATGGACAAGGTCTTTATGGCACCAGCTGCAGTGCTTGGACACCTCGCTATTGAGTGCTCGCTGGTTGTGTTCAAACAACTACTCCAGGGTTTTCCATTCTCTCTCTTTACAACAGCATTACAGCTGTGACTGATGGGGGGGACAAAACAAAGCAGAAAAGGCAGGCATACGTTTTGGAGGGTTTGAGCAGCATGCTTTGGGTTTTTTCAGTGTGTTCTGCAGTGTGGGTATCACTTAAAGGCAATACCAGTCTCTCAGCTGTAGGTTCTTGCCTTCACGTGTAAGATAAGGCCCGCGGCCCAACTTCGCCATCCCCACAGTTGAAAATCTCCTTGTTACATTCAGCTGACGTGTGCTACACAGAATGTGTAAGCGACATAAAATGTAAAACACCAGCTAGCCCGTGGTGTCACTTCTTTTTTTTTCTGCCAGAAAGGGAAGTTGTTCAAAACCACGTTAACATCTGTGGTCACGGGGATAACTGTGTGGGAGCCCCGTCTTGTGCCGTGGGGCTTCCCAGCTGGTCGGCTTGTACTTGCAAAGCCAGTGCTGGACTTTTTATTTTCCTAGCTGACCAGTGAAGTGCAAACACTGGGAGATAATGAAGAAGAGCAGGACATCCTCCGAAGCTCCAGTGCAGCCCAGTGGCCATACCGTTGGCCCTGAGGGGCCTTCTGCTGTGGTGCAGCTCCTGGCCCAGCTCACAAGTGTGCAAGGGCGCTTGGTGCAGCTCTCTGCGGCTCCCTGAGCCACCCAGCTCGACCTGGGGTCTTCTGTGTCCCACTGGGACACCAATAAGTGCGGGTGGGAGCGTGCTTCGTGGCTGGGCTGTTTGCTCGTGGCACGTCGTGTGTGAGAAACAAACAAAAACCCCCTCAGTACCAAAGTGCTCGGTTTAATTCTGTCATTTTGAAAAGCCACAAGTAGCGCTTGATCATCTCTCTCTCTTACTTTGTGCTGTGCTTTTATACCCGGTTAGATTTTTACTGTAACTGTTGTCATGCTGTCGCTTGCACATAATTCTGAGCATGTTTCACAATCTTTTTTTTTTTTTCCTTCCTGTGGACGAGGGTTGCCGTTTTGTTTCTGGTTTGTTTGGGGGAATTGGTTGCGAGGGGGTGGGTACACGATGCCAAGTCTCGGTTTACGAGCCTTTATTTCTAGTGCTGTCACCACAGATCCCAGGTATGATGGCTGAGGTAACTAATGGTGTTAACCTGCTTTCAGGACCCTGGCCCACCACCGCCGTCGCCCCTGATGGGTTTGAAGCCGTTGCAGTTGCTCGAGATCAAAGCTAGGGGAAGGTTTGGCTGCGTGTGGAAAGCTCAACTCCTGAACGAGTATGTTGCAGTCAAAATATTCCCCATTCAGGTAGGCAAAAGTTCTGGTGTCCTGTGTTTATTAAAATATTGTATTGTAAACCATGTTTTCCAGTCACTGTAAGAGGCTTTATGTTAGAGAATTTTTACTGTGTATACTACAAACCTCAATATTCCACACAAATTCTCAAATACAGGAAGTATCTTCAGCCAGAGAATGTGCAGGTAGGGTTTTTATCTTAATGAAGATAAAATTTGCTAAGATTTCCTAATCATAAAAATACTTATTTGACACAAATAGTCTGAAGCACGTAAATACTGTTTGCAGCTCTCACACGTCTCCATTTGAGAAGAATCTGTTGATGTTTTTCAACTTAAAATGTACTTGGACTGAATGTAAGCTGATAAATTGGTGCCCTGAAATGCAAACCTGATGTAAGGTGCTAGTTCCAGTTAAACATGCCTCAATTGAAGGTAACAATGCTGACTTCCCAGCATACGGCTCTGAAAGCCATATTTCAGAATAGATTGTGCTCTTAATTTTAGAATCCAGAATGATGAATACAGTGATACTAGGATAGATCTGACATTAATTAAAAGCAGCCAATGCTAGTTGAGGTGGAGAAATGTACTTTTGCTTTCCAGTGGTTAACGAAGTGTTAAATTGTTGAAGAAACACATCTGTGGGTTCCTTGCCTTCTAGGAGAAATGGCACATATATATATGATGGTTTAAGTCATCAATACAGCATACATTAAAACTGAGACTTTTATCTTGCTGTTTTTAAGAAAGGAAGACGTGTTTCTAATTCTTAGCGGGTCTGTTTTGTTTTCTTAAGGTAGAACCAGTCTCAAAACAAAAGCATTGCAATGATTTCCAGTATATAGACTCTATTCCTGGCTACAGCTTTCTGTGTTTCCGTGGTTCATACCTCTGATAGTTGGTGGTGTTTTCAGATAATGCAACATATTTAATTTTTCAGACACTTTTCCAGGAAGTGTGAATGTGTAATATATTTATTTTAGGTCAGTATTTTGTAGCACAAATACTGCTACTAATCTAAACATTCATATTTTTATAATAATCAGTCTCATAACGTTAATGGCATATACCATGCTTTCTTTATTTTTGGTAATAAATCCTGATTTGCCGATTTGACCAAAAATTAAGTTTTAATCGTATTGACAGATCATTTAGCAATACACAATGAATTACAGGAGGAAATGTCTGACAGGGAAAGTACCTCTTATGCTTATCATCATGGTATTAACTTGTCGTGTTGTGTTTTTGTTGTTTTTCTTTAAAGGACAAACAGTCCTGGCAGAATGAATATGAAATTTACAGTTTACCAGGAATGAAGCATGACAATATTCTACAGTTCATCGGTGCAGAGAAACGAGGCACTAGCATTGATGTCGACCTCTGGTTAATTACAGCATTTCACGAAAAGGTATGGGTAACTCCCAAAGTAGCATCTTTTTTTTTTTTTTAATCATCATTATGATGGAAGAAGAGTAGCCTTAGAAATTTGTTGCCAATGTGAATTTTAGACAGTTAAGAAATAAATCTTAATAGAGAAGTTTTACAAAACAAATGAAGAGATTTTTTTCTACCTGTTGCTTCTTAGAATACGTATATTTTGGCATGTCCCCATTCTAAATCTGCCTGGATTAAACAATCTCCATTTCACAAAGGTTGTGGTGCTATGTTTCAATTCTGGCATTTTTGTCCCATTTATACCTATTCTTTAATCACTTAGATTAAAACAATCCAAATATTTACATTTTTGACAGATCTTCACAGTCAAGTAGATAATAGCAAACAAATTTGCCTTTCTGAAAAGATAGTGCCAATTTTTGAGGGCTTTAAGCTTGTTAGAAAGATAGTATCTGAGATGGCTCTGGAAAGTAAGAATTTTTAAAATGTAGTCACTATGTTTTAACAGCACTGTGTTCATTATTCCCTTTTCTCTTGGCTTAAGTAACATGACATGGTGACATGTCGAACTGGAGCATCTCTAAATCCATGAGAACGTATCCACAGAGTGGGGTATAGAAGGGAGTTTGAGACAAGTGCTTCATGTTGGCTAGGTTTTGCTTCACGTTGTCTCTTTATTCAAAGCATTTCACTCTGAAACTGCTGCAGAGCTGGGACTTACTGTCATTAGTCCGGAAGGGAATAAAGCCTGTCAGTTAAAGGTCTCAGAACGAGCATCCCAATTTAGCAGGATTCTTGCAGGTGAATCTAACCTGCAGTTTCTTGTGCCTGGAAGGTTACAAATCACCCTGGTTAAAGCAGGGTTGTCTTTATAAAGAACTTAAACATCTGTAAGCCCAGCTCCTCTTTCTGACATCACCAGTTAATGCAGTTCATTGGCATGTGTGCTGCTGGCCTTGAGTTAATTATGCTGCTGGGTTATCGAGGTGACATTAGGCGCATCTTGATTCTGCTCATGGGCAGAGGTGAAGCAAAGGTTAATTTTTTGTTGTTGTTTAAGCCAGCAGTAGATTGTTTATGCAGTTGTATAATTACAGAGTCTATCAGAAAGCAGAGAAAGGCAGAAGAGCATATCGTGTTCTTTTAGGATGGAGGCTATCTAAAGTTTTCTTTATGGTTAGATGAAAGAGAAATCTATCTTACAATTGTTTTTCTTTTTTGCTGCACAGGGTTCGTTAACCGACTTTCTCAAGGCTAATGTGGTTTCCTGGAATGAGCTGTGTCACATTGCTCAGACCATGGCTAGGGGCTTGGCTTATCTTCACGAGGATATACCAGGGCTGAAAGATGGACACAAGCCTGCCATCTCACACAGGTACAGTATGTGGGCGATACTTCCAGACCATCGTTAATATTTAACTATGAATGAAATATTGATAGATACAAAGTGGTCAAAAAACTACTCTGTGGTATCTTCTTTCTATAGTTATCAAGAGCCTAATAAGAAAAATCTGCTCAGCCTAAGCAAAAAGCTAGCTGCTGTTCTATAGAATGCAGTTTGGTTGGTGACTGTGGTTAATGAAACCTTTTTACCCAGTTAATTATATAAGTACCCTATGAGGTATATAAGATAATTGATATTATAGCTATTGGAAACATCTCCAACACTTATTTATATAACTTTAAGTAATACTGAATGCCTTCACACAGAAACTTACTGGAAGTGATGTCTTTGTATGATATCTCTCTTTGTTGTCAAACTTTACGTGGTATTTCACCTTTTACATTTACAATTCTTTTCTTTAACTTGAAAGGGACATCAAAAGCAAGAATGTGCTGCTGAAAAATAACCTTACAGCTTGTATCGCTGATTTCGGTCTAGCTTTAAAGTTTGAGGCTGGAAAGTCTGCAGGGGATACACATGGACAGGTAAAGACCAGCTTACTTGTGTACAGGGTGAAATATTAACTGCGTGTGAATGGGAATTGGTACTCTGTGTGTTCTTCATCCAAAGGATACTGTATCATCAACCCTAGCTTTTGACCTTTAAGAAAGATGGAAATTCTAGCTTTCTTCTCACAGAGTCAATTAATACTAATCAATTTGTTTAATAATTACAGGTAAGTCTTTCCTCTGCTGGCCACCTATCTCACTACGTGGCCCCTTCTAGTGGTTTCACACCCAAGAGCTGCAGCACACCACACTCATTCCCCCACTGAGGTGGCAAATGGGGAGAAATGGGCAGTGGGGGCTGTGGTCAGTCCTTGATGCTTTATCTCTGCCGTTCCTCTCTCTACGGGCTGCAGTGTGGAGATCTGCCACAGACCCCTGCCACCAGTCCCTGCCCCCTGAGCCCAGTACAGCCCCATCCCCCTTCATTTCATTCCTTACTGGAGAACTCAGACAACACAGAGCTCTTGCTGCTTTTTATTCCTTGTTCTGAGCTGCTCCTCAGAAGTTGAGTGCTGATGCTGGCAGCCGGTTTGTAACTTTCTGACCTAGCAGTGCAACATTCATTTTCCTGAAAGGAAAACAATACTAATTCAGTACTTGCCATGGAACAGGGAACTGTTTTAGTATCATGTACTTTTTAAATAACAAGCTTGAGCCTAGAGCATTATGGTTCCTGGAAAACTAAGTATATTTAGTTTTAGGCAGAATTTCAGCTTCTGGTTGAAGGACAAAAATAAAATCCGTATGTTAGGATTATAAAACCTCAATTACACTGTTTAAGAGAAACATAGCTATTACTGTGAAGGTTTGAATAGTGGAGTAGAGTTTGTTCAGACATCGTGTAAGCTCTGATCTCTTCAGATTACATAATGCATCGTTAATTGTGGTCAGGACGATTGGGCAGCCCCGAAGTCTTCATTTGATGTCTAGTTTTGTGCAAGTGATTTCAGATAACTTTCTAAGTATAAATTGCACTTCAGTAACTGGCTTTCCTTTGGTATTCTGTTACTTCTGTCATGGGGAGAAACAGAAGCAGGTTCCATGTCTTTATGTGAAACTGTAATAATTCTTTTGACATGAAAAAATAAGAACAATGGCCTTCTTGTAATGTGGAAGAATATAAGGAACAGTGGTGATGAATACATCAAATTGCTCACAGAAATGTCTTATTTTAAAATAATACAGATCTTCCTCTTTCATAAGTATCCTTTCTAGGACCTAGTCCAAAAATTCTGTTTCTAATTCTATTATACAGCAGTACAAGACGCTTCCAAGATGTAGTCCCAAGCAAAGATAACAAAGCTGGGTTTTAATCTTTGTCAAAAACCAGCACTGCCCTACAGTACGGGTACAGTCAGCTAGGTAGAATGGTAATTGTAGTCGTGTTGATTCTTAGCATACAATTTTTTTATGTTTGCATCTTTCCAGGTTGGCACACGAAGGTATATGGCTCCCGAGGTACTAGAAGGTGCTATCAACTTCCAAAGGGATGCATTTCTGAGGATAGATATGTACGCCATGGGACTGGTCCTCTGGGAGCTGGCGTCACGCTGTACTGCCTCAGATGGTGAGCAAAATACCCAATCTATGCTTGATTAAATTTGTGAGAGTGTATTTAAAACAAGGAATTGTAAAGTGGATTATGTGTAGTTAATAAGACTCACAAGGGTGGTAGTCTTGTGAGCAAATGAACAAGCCACCAGCACCACGTAGTCACATCGTAATTGAATCTCTGGAGTGTTTGACACCCCAGGTAAGCATTTTCTGATACACGACTCTGCTGCATATTTTGTCCTGGTCATGGTAAGGAAGAGAGGATTCCTGTGGAACTCCTAACTCAGTGTGTTTGATTGCTTCTGAGTTCAGCGCCACCCAATTTATGGTTTCTTTTCATAAACAGAAGTCAGGATTAGATCAGCCTTCCTAACAAAATGGCTCTGCCAGCACCTGTGTGCTGTTCAAGTGTGAATAGCATTCCTGAATTTTGTAAATAGAGAAATTGTAGATTGTCCAGAATAAGTCGTCCTTAATCAAGGACAAGACAAGTGACCAGTTTCAAATGTTTGGGAGAAAGCTTTTGGTACAGTCTTTAATTCAGCTAAGTAAATGTGGAGGTTTTGGGGCTGATGATACCACTTGCCACAAAGCTTTCCTAGACCAGTGCAGCTGAAAGATGTTGATTTAAGAAGCCGAAATGTATTGGAGATGAGCACATTGCCACGCACTGCTCTCCTGCTCCAAACATTCCTCATGGAGCAGAAGCCACCAGGGAGGCTTTACCCTTTGAAAAATGTTAAGCTGTTTACTAACAGGATCAGCGCGCTCTTGCACAAATTTCTGAGGCAGACTCGCGTTCCCTATTGATTTTTCGTGCCTTGCTGTACTGTAAAATATATTTACCTAAATCGTACCAGAAGTATGTTGTAGGTCTCGTTGGCAAGCGTGGTTATTCCAGAAGTAAGGGGGACAGCAAAAGGGGCAGCAGCTCTCCTGAATCACAGCTCTGTGCAGCTCTCCAGCCACAGCTGCCTGTTTTGTCTCTGCAAATAGAGTTTTTCAGCAGGTACCTCGTGTCTCACTGAGCCTCAGCAGGCCCGTGTGTACCCTACTGCACAGTTCTCCTGTCTTCTTTCTTTTTCCCGTGTACACACCTGTCTTCAGGCTTCTATCTGGGAGTACAACCTACACACTACAGCAGCACCTTACCTGTAGCTGCCTGATCTGGTGTTCAGCTCTGAGCTTGCCCCTCTGATTTTGTGACAGGCAGTACCTGCTGCTTGGCCTTCAGCACGGGTACTTCTGTTCCAGGCTGTCTGGGTTGGAGGAGGAAGGATATAACGCGGGCTGCAGGTTTCTGGCCTGTAGAAGGAAGGTTGCCACATTCAGCAGAGCAGAAGTTTGTAGCTGCTTAAGTAAAGTCTGAGTCACTGCGTGCTGCTAACCTGTCACAGGATGAGGTTTTAATGGCAGCAGAAAGTAAACTACACTGTAAGCTTTTGATTATGGGCCACAATTCTAAGATACCAGTCTTTTTTCCTTTGAGCAGAACTTGTGCTTTAGCCTCTTTTTTTTTTTCTCTGTAGGCCCAGTGGATGAGTACATGTTGCCATTTGAAGAAGAAATTGGCCAGCATCCCTCCCTTGAAGACATGCAGGAAGTTGTAGTTCATAAAAAGAAGAGACCTGTTTTAAGAGAGTGCTGGCAAAAACATTCTGTAAGTAGTTACGCAACCCAGTTCTTCAAAAGTTCTGTCATGATCTGAATTTCAAATTTTGTTAATCCTGTGTTGTGTTCATGTTGCTGCCTTTTAGGAAGAATTTAACTGTAGTAAGAATTAAATGGGCCATGAACTAGTGTTGTTCCATCATAAAATGTTCTGTCATCCTGAGTGATTTGAAAGTACGTTTTTGGTTAAAGAACTGATCCTTGAGCTTTATTTCTAAAACTAAAATGTGTATGTTACAAACATGCTTAAGAAATACTGGTCTGGATTTACTCAAGGAAAGCTATGAACTGAGTGTAGTAACATGGGGTAAGCAGTGGCATACAGGACACTTGGGGGATCTTTTAGGGAAGATCAGTTGCTTGTCTGATTGGCTTTATGGATGGAGACTTGCACTGAGAGCACTGCATGTTCTAGCACTGTTGGTTTTATTGGTTTGGTTTGTTTTCCAAAAAACGAGTTAGTGGAAACAATAGATGACACTCTGCAAGAAAAACGAGTGCCACCCTCTGCTCCTTGGGATGAGCAGATTGCTGTTAGCTCAGTTACCTGGAGAGGAATTAGCTGCTGTCAGATAAAAATCCCCTTCTGTACTCCTTGATTTTCAGTGAGGTTCCGTTTAGTCAGTGAAGAGCTCACCCTCTCAGAGTGAGATCTTTAAAATATCACTGACTTGACTAGCAGACTGCAGCATCATGTAGAGAAAAGCACCCGCTTGCTGTTGCATCCATTGCTGAAATGGTAAAAAATAAACAAGGCGTAAGGTCCCCTGGCTTGCCAGGTTCCAGAACAACCATGGCCTAACCTCCCTCCTAGCACAGGGGCTGCAATGGGGCAGCTACACCTCAAAACACGGCCTGCTAACAGGAATCGCTGGGCAAACCCACCTGCCTAAAACCTGCTGCTAACTCTGCACGCCGTGACTTCTCCTTCACCCTTGGGCTTGTGTGTTTGCTGCAGGGCATGGCGATGCTTTGTGAGACCATCGAGGAGTGCTGGGATCACGACGCAGAAGCCAGGCTGTCAGCGGGATGCGTAGAAGAACGGATTATCCAGATGCAAAAACTAACTAACATTATAACGACAGAGGACATTGTGACGGTGGTCACGATGGTGACAAATGTTGACTTTCCTCCCAAAGAATCCAGTCTATGATAGTTGCACTGGTCACGTCACTGACCAACAGGACTCTTCACTGGAGCTGCTAAAGCTGACGGGACTGCTCACGTCGTTACTGTTTTCTGTGTGAACCGACCGCTAAGTCTCTCTGGAACATCATCAAGAGGTGTTTTTCCTTTATTTTCCCCTTCCTCCTCCCAAACAGGAATCCGTGAGACTTTCTGCATTCCCTGCTTACACCTGAAGGACGCGGGACTGAGGAACGAGAACACGCTGTTAAGGAACTTAAATGAAGAATATGGACCTGTACTGGCTAATCACGTGTTTTAAAAACTGACATCAGATTTCTTAATACCTGTCGGAAGAGACTAATTCCTTAAATGAACTACTGTTATTTTTTTTAAATCAAACATTTCATTTCAGATTTAAAAAAGGGTAACTTGTTTTTATTGCATTTGCTGTTGTTTATAAAAATGACTATTGTAATGCCAATATGACACAGCTTGTGAATGTTTAGTGTGCTGCTGTTCAGTGTACATAAACAAAAGTAATCAAGTGGGATATAGCAAAGAGGCTTCCAAGTATTACTTAACCTCCCTCAACAAGGTATACCTCAGTTCCACCTCTGCTAAATTATGAGATTGACAACACTAACAAAATTTGAATAATAAATTGATCCATGTTTTGTAAATGATGTATTTCAAATTCACTGTGTTATTTAAAAAGGGTAAGCTATGCTTCATGCCAACAGTAAATGGCCATTCCTAAAGCAGTGTTTTTAGCCTTTTCTTGTACTAGCTTGTTGTGTATAAAAAAAAAAAGTGCTGTTTATTGAAACAAAATTTTCCTTCTTGTTTTAGTTTAAAGCTTTTCTCTTACCTCCATTTCCCAGAGTATCTCATACATTTATTTAATGGAATACTATTTAGGTTTGCTGTGTCTGAGGAATATTTGAAAACTTAAGCATGACTTTTTTAATTTTCTGTGAGCTAGGACACTGGAAAGCTCTGAATTCTTTCTTTTTTTTAAAAGTCTTTTTCCTATTTATGTTTGTGACGAGGTCTGCCTAGTGTGTTTTCTGTTTCACTAAACAGTATGCAGTGGGTTCTGTATCACTGTTTCAGGATCACCTCAGGAAGCTCAGTTACCCCAAATTCTTAACTCTCTGCAACTTCACTCTACTTAATGCTCGGTGCCATCTGATCCAACGTACTTCATGTCTGTGATATGCAGATTTATCCCAGAACCGTACTAAAAAATTGGAGCCAGAGTTGTCTGATTACAAACGCTTAAAAATTTCAGGGATAATTTAGTCACACGTAAAATATGCAATGACAAGTAAGAGGTAACGAATACTGATCTTCGTACCACAGACTCATAAAAAAAAATAAGGAAAAACATTGAAATTGCTTTCACAATGTTATCTTTGAGTTTAGGAAGTCATGCCTTATATTTAAGTTCCAAAGTGGTAGATAGGTGCCAAAGTGCTTCTCAGAAGTACTGTTTCACTACATTTATTTGATCTTTTTACACTAATTTCCAAGTAAAATAAATTTTAGAGACCTCTAGAGGACAGAACCACCACTGGTTAGTGTATGCTGCGTGCTTTTATCCTTGTGTTTTGTTTGGTTTTGCACCATGCAGTCAGGGGCTTTTGAAGGAAGCTCTGGATGTTGTAAGAGCTTGCTGTGAAGGTTATCTTGAGAAGCTGCTCCTGCAGCCACAGGATGCTGTTTTACATGTGCATGAATTTAATCTCTGGGAACAATAAGAGATGTTACAGATAAAACAAGACCTAGGTCAGCATGCTCGTAGTAGGAAGGGAAGGAAAGGTGGTGCAGTGGTGCTCATGTAACATCCACCCCACGTCCCCATCTTGGTGTTTGTCATGTTCATGCCTAAGGCCTCACAGAGCCAGAGGAACCCTGCTCTGAAGGGTGACCGGCACTGTAGGTACAACTCAGTGTTGTTCTGCTTGGGTATAAAAAGGAGAAAAGTAGCTTGTGGCCACTTCTTTAACTGACATCTTCATTTTGCTTCCATTTTGAAGCCAGGGATGCTATTTTACGCATGCAGCAGGGCACAATCGTAGCTGCTGAGTTCTGAACAAAGCAGGCTCCAGTCCCACCTTACTGAAGGCCTCTGTGCTCCCATGGAGCTGTAACCCCAGTGCTGACAAAGGTGGAATAAATGCAGCTGATTTAATAACCATTACTCAAGATCTGATGCAAAATGTGGTCCTGTGTAAAATTGGCAGCATCTCGCTCTGATCCTGTAAAGTTCAGCTACTGCAGGCTCTGGCAGCAAGGTGTTGGGGATCCTGCTGGTGGTGCCCAAAATCCATGGGGAATTTTGGGGTGCTGGAGGAGCCTGAGCTGGCTGAGGCAGCAAAAGTTCAAACCATGCAGGGATCATTGAGGGCTCAAGCACTGTATTACACGGAGTTTCCTGTTTTTTTTTCCAAGAGCATAATGTAGATACAAAAAGGATGTTCATAATATAATTAAGTGCTATTTAATTGGTTAAGAAACCCAACCACCACCCCCCTGTGCTGCTCTAGTACCGCTGCCCTCACAGGACATTGGGATTTGCTTCCAGAGCATCAGGCATGCAAGTTGATAAAGGGCCCGGTTTTACAAGTATAAACAAAAGCAGGATGGGTGAAGCTGCTGCTAGTGGAACTATTTGGCATTATTTACCAGCAGCCAGTGACCAGCATCCCTCACTGTCTCCAGCAGTACAGGGTGTGAGCTCCATGGGGACACCCTGTGCCCTGCCTCAGGAGGAGCACCCAGCCCCTGGGCCCCATTTTCAGCTGAGGGCTGCTGCAGTGCCTCTGCTGTGTGGGCCCCAGGGCTGACAACAGAGCCAGGGCTCGGCCTCCCCAGAAGTTGAAGCCCCCTGCCATGTTCCCTGTTGTGTTGTTGCTGGGCAAGGAGTTTTTCCATCACCCGCTGCATGGCTTTGTACTCACTGCTATGTGCCCACAGCATCTCAGAGCAGAGCCTGTGCCTCGTAGTTGGAGTTGTGGTGGGCTGAAACTACACCTTAGGATGGAAAGTCACCGCCTTGGACCTGCTCGTTGAGAGGGGTAAAAGTCAGCCTAGGTTCAAGTACCAACTTCTGGTGTGCTACCTAAGTTTAATCAGAGGGTAATAAGACATTTCCTGGTCATATTAGCATTTGACAGAATCCCTAGATTACCGGTTCGCTCTTTTTTCCAGCTTCTCTTTTAAACCTCTTTTAATGTTTACTTTTATTAGGAACACTTGGTACAAAAAGCAGAAAGCTGTAACATAGGCTCATGGGCAAAACAATTCAAGTAGCATCCTTGATGGAACATCATTTACCTCAGATACTCAACCAGCAGTACTTTTTTTTTTTTTTTTTAAAACTTTTAAATGCAGTTTCAGTCCATATACTATTCGTTACCTCTCAAGATTTTGGTAAGCAATTATTTTAACTTTACTCTTTGTATTTGTCAGTGTTTTGGGCACAGGTTGTTGTACTACTGTCAAAACATACTTGCTGTTTTCCTGCAAGTACTAAAAACAAACCAACCCCTCCCCCCCCCTCAATAAAGTGATTGTTAAATATTGTACAAATAAAAATGTATGCTCTTTCTCCCCCGACTTCCCCAAAAAGTTAAAATAAAAAAATGTGACTACTACGACTTGCATATGCCTTTCTTCAGGTTGTAACCCTTTGCGAGGAGAGACACCTACCTATTTCTACATACGCGGTAATGTTTAAGCAATGTGGACAAGTTTCCTGGGCAAAAAAAAAAAAAAAAAAAAAGGAAAAATGGTGCAGTTGAAATGCAGGCAGTGAAACAGAGGTAGAATCCGCATCCTGGCTCAGGAAGGGGCCTTCCCCTCTCCTGGCTCTTTCCAGCAGTGCCGGGGCAGCTTCAGGGAGAGACTCAAGGCATGTTTCTTACCTGCAGCCTGGCCCCACGCAGCCCCAGCAGCGTTGGCTTCCCTGCTGAGCTGCCTGGGGCACGGCCAAGCTTCTGGCCTTTAGCTTGAGCTCAAAGTCAGTCACTGCTCTCCCTTTTAAAAACATTAAACTTCATCAGCCTGGCCTTTAGAAGAGCTGTGGAAATGCTGTGAATGCTGCTCTGCTGCAAGTGGGATTTTTTTCTAGCCTATACTATCGCTGTTGCAGTTTGTTTCTCCAGAAGTGACACTAAACCAAAGCTGGAATTGTTAGGTTCACAGAAAAGCAACAACCTGCCTCAGCCCCAGCATATATTAGATGTGAGGTTTCACAAACATCGCTTAGAGCAAGGAGTTCTGACCCTACAAGTGAGCCTCAAGACAGCCTGTGGATGTGGCACAGGTTTCATCAGTAGTGCTGCATCATTAACAACCTTACCCAGCTAGACAATATTTCAGGCTCCCAGGTCAGTATTTATGCTGGGCTAAGAGTCCTCCCTGCCACCACTCTCCCTGCCCTGTACCAAGCTTCTCACATTAGGAACCAGAGCCCCAGGACCAAGAGCCTGAGCACAGGGAGCAGGGGAAGGGGGAGCTGCTTCCTTCCACCCCCACCTTCCCCACGAGATCTGTGAGCACCACCATGCCCATCCCTGCATCCCCCGTCCTTCTTTCCACCTCTGACCAGACTCTAGGGCTGTTTAACAGAGAACGGAGGTTTCCAGGCACGGAAAATAACTCCTTCTTAAAAGGCAACCTGGATTACATGAAGTACACAGGGAATCTAACAGAGTTTGTGCTTGCTGAGTAAATGCTTTGCTTTCTGGATTCACGCTGTAGTTATGGTTTGCAAGTGTTCCATTCAAACAGCCTCAGGCATCTTGTCTAAGCTACCACCTAGAGGAACTGGATCGCTGTGACTCTCCTACTACTTATTTTGCTCCTTTTCAGAGTACTGCTGTGTTATTCAAGATGTGCAGATGACATCTTAAAAAACAATGAAGCAGTGAAGAGAGCAAAATTAAAATACTCCTGACTGACAAGAAGGGCTTCGGAGTGACACCAGAGAGAGGTCTCCCAGGCATGGAGAAGTCACTGTTTCTTTGGCTTTTTGACAGACTGAAGCCAGGGCTGCTAAAAATGACATCACAGACTTTAAGGCAAGAATGAGCTAACTCGCTCTATATTCAGGAAAGAGAAAATCAGTCTTCCTGCATCACCCTTCCTGAAACCTAACAGCAGCATCATGAGGACATCATGAGCCAGCTGGGCAACCTGCAGAGCAGGTGGGCTGGTAGCTGAGGCTCCTTGCACAAACACAGCACTTGCCAGACGCAGGTAGCTGTGACTGGAGGTTGAACTAAGTCACATCAGAGCTGTATTAGAGACAGATCTGCACTTGAGAACATACAGCAGGAGTCCTGCAGCTGGTTAACACCTCAAGCAGCCTTTATCATCTAAAGCAGCCTCAATCTGCAATTAAGAAACTCAAAGCACAACCGCTTTGATTTCTACAAAGCAGAAGTCACATTCAGAAGGAAAAGTTAGCACTGAGCTGAGCTACCCCGAGCATTTAGAAGTTCTTCCAATTTATGGCATTACAAGGTAAGAGGATTGCGGTTCCAAAACCAACCTGCAAAGCCAAGCAGCCTTCTTCCAACCAAAAATTTATTAACTTGACCACCCTACTGTGGGTAAACACCACATCTTCTGGAGTCTGCAGTTAACTCCAGAAGTTCTGAAGTGACAAGGGGCCCCGTGAGTTCCCAGCAGCTCACAACCAGCTAAGCGATGACGTTGCCCACTGCTTCACGTCTGTGGGGCAGTTGGGGTACGCCTGCAAAGCGTCCATGATCTGGGTGTTGTCCAAGAGCAGTTTCATCAAGAGGTACTCTCTCTGAGTACGCACCGATGGTTTTTCTATTGGTTTGACTAATTCCAGTTGCAGTAAGTGTTCGAATGCCTAAAAACAAAAGAAACAAATTAGGAAAAAAGGAGACAACCTCACTCCGGGCTGCACTGGCCACTTGCAGAGACCTACTAGGAGCTGTTTTAACAGATGCCTGGGGGATGCTGTCTTGACAGATATTAAATGCCAGCTCCATTCAACCCTATGTCCTTTTCGACAGGCAGTAAAACATATGTGAGCTGAGCTAGAATACACTTCTCTTCTTATAGAAATAAGAATTAAAATATTTAGTTTACATAACCAAATGGGAATGACTTTGTTCCAATTAATCCAGAACGACAGCTCATTACAAGCACACAGCGTTACTTAACTTTCAGTTTAAGCACAACTGAATCATCATGAATCAGAAAGCAGGACTGCTCAGCTCAAAAGCAGCAAGACTAGAAGCTTTGGTTGCTGAACTCCGGATCATTGAGTTAAATTCATCAGCTGAAAGTATCTGCACAACCACCTGCTGGGCTGCTGTGCTGCAGCAGGATGAAATGCCACACTGGCAGTGCCCCAAGCTGAAAAGCTTGAAAAACAAGAGTCCTTGCAATATTTTCTTGTAAGCAGGGTATTTACCAGACCAACAAACTTCCTACCAGCCGGGCACCGACCAGCAGAGGGCAGCGCAGCACCGAGCAACACAACCACGGGTCACATCTGTTCTGCGAGCAGGGTTTTCTCCGTCCCTAAAGCATCCGCCCCTACTTCAAGGACTGTTTACGACTGTTCTAATGCACGCTCTGGCAGAAGATACACATCTGAGTGCTTTAGGAAAAACTACACTTCAGGTTTACCTTCATAACAACTGGCTTTTCGAAGTTGTACATGCAGTGCGCCTTCCTCTGGATGAACTTCTGAAATTCTGCATCGGGAACGGGAAGGAAAAGTTACTCGGGGTAACGCGAGTGACTTAGCACGTGTAAGATTCATGCATTTCTCTCACCATTGTAAACCATCTGGAAGTTAAATGGTTCTCCTTCATAAACATCATTTAAGTGTTTCATAGCTATAATTAGGCAGATTTCCAGGACAGACAAACCTAGAGGGAGAGACAAGAGCTCTAAATATCTCTTGAGCATATCAGAAGTGCAAGCAGTTCATGTGCTATTTTTAATACTCTTTTGTATGCTGTAGACCTCACATATTTGTGGGGTTTATCTTCATAATTGTAACAAAATCCCAGAATTAAATGAGGCTAGATAAAAGCAGAACATTAGTTTTCAGATTTTTGAAGCAAGAATGTTACAAAAAAAACAGGCTCCTTCTGTCAAAATCCAAGGAATTTAAACATAAAGACAAAATCATCACTGCAGACAAAGAAATCCTGGCAGCATCAAGACAATCAACATGCTACCGTACAGCATGTGATGAAATGAGAGTCTGAAGAAGTTACTTGCTATTGAAAGCTAAAGAAGTGATGCAGGGAATTACCTCCACAGACAGAGAATCACAGGGTCAAGCCAAACCAAGGCCTGTGAAGTCTGGGAGCAGTGAAAAAGCAATCGGATAAAATTGATCTTTCCCTGATCAGGGAAGCAATTTGTCCTGTAACTGTATTTGGGCCTATATCCTCATCAGCCATTTATTTCTTATCGTTTGTACAAGTTCCCAAATATTTATCAGAGAAAGCTTAAGTGCATTGCTCAGTGCATCTCACTTGCTGAGGTTTAAGGAAAGCCCCTCAGCCCCTCACCACAAACAGTTAAGTGAAAGCAGCACCAGGGGTTTCAGGCTGCCCCAGCACACTGACACACACCAGCCGTCAGTGCAGGAGTAAGAGAAGCTTGGCCAAATGCAGGTGGGTGCACGCAGCTGTACCCTGCACATTCAAATACATGTCCAAGCACAGGCTGTTGCAGTTCTCAGAGGATTTATTGCCACAGCTCGCAGCCCAAGCCCAGCAGTTCCCTCATGCTACCAGCACTAGCAGAAAGAGGTCAGCCTTTCCCCTTCCTCTGACACTCACGGGACAGAAATGCTGCCTGGGGGGTTCCCCACGCCACCAGTGCTGACTACAAACACGCTGGCTGGTGCTGAGAGCTGTTACACAGCCGTAGCAGGGCACTGGCTGAGTGCCCTGGGCAGTAATATTCGCACCAAGTATTACACAACTCAATTTCGGGTTCATTCTGCACCGTTATAGCCACACACGGACAAATGCAAGTCAGTGGGGGGCAGGCAGATAAATGTGTCCCCCAAACAGCTCATACCAAGAGGCATCGGTGCATTACGCAGTGTCCCTTCCATCTGAATTCCACTGAGGCACCTGATGCTTTCCAGTCTTTAGAAACACCTGGGAGAAAAAAAAATGAGCTTTACCATGTACAATATTTGCTTTGGAGTCCATTCTGTACTGCTTGCTTGCCTCCTGAAGATCTGACGCAGTGATAAGAGGGTGATGCACAGTAACGTTACTTACAGCAAGCATCTAAAAATAAAGCAGAAGACATTTTTCATTTAATTACTAATTACCAGACACACTTTCTGCTCCGA